CTGATTTCCTTTGATTAGGATGTGTTATGATGTGAAAGTTTAAGCCAAAGAAATGTTTTCTGCCCTCTCCACCAAAAAAAGAAAGAGCATCATCTACCTATGGAAAGCATTTCTACACAAAGCATTTTTTAAATTATACGTAGTTTTAATAAGTTTATAAAACAGAAGGATTCCATGCAGCCGGTTCACATAGCCTTAGTGTTGGTTACCTCCCTTCACTTTTTTTCTTCCAGGCCTCTCCCAGCTTTGACCCTTCTACCCTCAGTATTCTCTCCTCCACCTTCTATCCATTGTTTCTGCTGTGTCTCCTTCCTCCCTCTGATGACCCCTTCTCTCCTCCACCTTCTATCCATTGTTTCTGCTGTGTCTTCTCCCTCCCTCTGATGACCCCCTTCTATCTTTCTGGCCTGTACTAGCACTCAATGGAGTAGTGCACTGCTCTACATTTTTAAAATGATAACTAAGATCAACATATACAAGAGAACAGAGGACATTTTTATTTCTGAGTCTGAGGTACTGCATTAGATATAATATTTTCCAGACCCATCCATTTTCTTGCAAATTTTATAATTTCCTTTAATTTTTTTTAGATTTCATTGTTTAATTGTGTGTATGTACATGAGTGTACACCAACCACAACTGACATGTGGTGGTCAGAGGACAACTACCAGGGGTTTGCTCTTTCCTTTCACCATGTGGGTTCCTGACATTGAACTTGTATTGTCAGGCTCAGTGACAAGCACCATTTTGAGTGATCTCAGTGGGCCTAAAGTCCATGATTTCACTTTTCTTTACTGCTGAATAAAATTCAGTTGTGTATGGGCACCTCATTTTCATTATGCATTTGTCAGTTGATGGACATTTAGGCTCTACCTATTTCCTTGCTATTTGCAAATAGCACAGTCACAGAAGTGCATGAATCTCTGTTGTTGCATATGAAGTCCTTTGCATCTGTGCCCACAAATGGTGTGGCTAGGTCATATGGCAGTTTGAATTTTAATTTTTCACATACTTCCATAGTGGCTGCACAACTTTTCTCTAATGTGTATTTTTGGCTCCTTTGTCAAAAAAAACCATGTGGGTACAGTTGCATGGACTTATGTCATTAAGGTTCCTTATTTCATTCCATTAATCTATTGGTCTATTTTTGTGCCAGTACCAAGCTGATTGTGTTATTGTCAGTCTGCAGTATAACCTGAAAGCAGGCATGATGATTCCTTCAACAGTGTGCTTATCCTTCAGGATTTCTTTGGGTATCCAAGGTTCATCCCATGTGAATTTCAAGATTTTTTTCCTATTTCCATAGAGAATTGACTTGGCATTTTTAATTTGACTTTGCACATTGAATTTGTATGCCATTTGAAAGGTTTCCCTTGAAACGTCAACTAATGTCCCAATGGGACTGCCTTGATATGTGACTTGGCCCTTCTCTCAAACAGCTTCCAGATCCTTCTTTGTTCTGTGTATTTAGAGTTTTAACTCTGATATAACATGGGGAGTTCATTTTCTGGTCTTGTCCATTTAGTGCTCCGTGAGCCCCCTTCGATCTAGATGGGCATCTCTTTCCCTAGATTTGGGAATTTTTTTCTTCTAGGTCTTTAAAAATATGTTTTCTTATTCTTTTGGTAAGGCATTTCTCTCCCTCTTCTATACCCATAATTCATAAGTATCATCCATAGTGTTCCAAAGACCTTGCATATTGTTTGTATGTATTTTAAAGCTTATCATTGACCTTTATTGAATGGTTCAATGGCTCCCCCTTGTCTCCAAGCCCTGATATCTGTTATGTCCTCCAGATAGTCCAGTCTATGAATGAAACTTTCCCCTGAGCTTTTCACTTGACTCCTTTATAGTTTACTTCATTTCCATCACCACTTCAGCTGGGTTTTTCTTCAGTATTTCTCTCTTCATTGAATTTTATTTCTATCTCCTGAACTGACTTCCCTATTTCATCTAGCCATTTGTGTTCTCTTAGAATACATTCATGCCTCCTTTTTTGAGTTGCTTAGACATATTTATAAATGCTGTTCTTGAATTATGTGTCTTGAATTTCATCTAGGTCATGTTGGCTGTGTGCCATTACTACAGGGTTAGCAATTTTTGAAGTAAACAAGTTGTCTTGTTTTTACAGATCCTTGCTGAGTTTTCCCCAGGACCTGTCCATCAGAGGTTAAAGAATTGGTTAAGTTTTTTTTTTAGCTGTTGCTTTTTAATTCAGGTAGCCATTGTATTTTTAGTTGAGAGACTTGCAATATTCAGGAAGACTAGTTGTACTTGGGTTTAGGAGATATCTTTGTCTTTTAGACTGTTGCTTGGAGCCCCAGACTCTACTCCAGAACCCACAGTATGTTTAGTGTTGTTTGCAACTAGTCACTGTCCATCAGTACACCTGTCATGAAAATGGAGTGTTGGTGATATTTTACTTTGTACTAAAATGTTAATTGTATGTTAATAAATAAAGTTACCCGGGGGTCAGAGCTATTAGAGCCATAGCAAGTGTGTGGCGGTGGTGACACACGCCTTTAATCTCAATACCATAGAAAACCTGGAAGTCTCTACAGACAGGCAGTGACGAGGCAGTCATGTGTTTGGGTTTACAGCCAATGAGAAGGCAGAACAGAAAGTCTATATAAAGTTAAGCAGACAGGAAGTAGCTCTCTCTTTCAGAGAGGTCTCTTGGCGCAAGAGCTAGCTGCAGCAGGAAGGGTAAGGCTCTTAACTCTGATCTCTTGGTTTTCTTCTTTGCATTGGTTCTGTGTTTATTATTTAACAAGACAGTTGGATACATCTACATGGAGTGTTGGCAGACTCCAAAGCAGTCAGTCCTTAAGAAGCAATTGTCTTGAGACATAAAGTTACATCAACAATGCTGAGTAATGACGTGTTATTATTATGAGTATAAATGGAGAAAATAAAGAGACCGCAGTAGGGCTAGTGATTAGTATTCGCTTGCTAGGTAGAAAGTAGAGGAGGGCGCCATCCATTTAAAGAGGAATTGTGAAAATAAAGAAAAATGTTGCAGTGAGCAAGATCTGAGTCTTCTTCAAAGGTAGACTGGCTATCCTCAGGGAAAGACATGCAATCAGATGAACTAGAACAGTCTTGCCTCCCAGGCGGTTGAGTCACAGAGTCACTAGACTAGGGTACCCTGTGCTCCCTGGGAGATGTAAAAGAAAAATGGCAGGTTACAGAGAAAAGGGAGAAAGGATGGAGAGAGGCCACTTTGACTTTGGATATTCTATAAATAGAGAGCTGTAGAAGGGAGTCAGACCTGGGTGGACTGAGTAAGGAGCTGCGTTTTTCTGCTGATGGATAATCTCTGAAATCAGGTGTGGCCTCCCAGAGCCACACTGCTGAGTACCTGGTTGGATGCTGGGGATATTTTGGACCCTCCCGTACCCTCCATATGTCCCTCTGTAAAGTGGACTTACGACAATGACAATCATACTTTCCATCACAAAGAGGGTGAGAATTAAAGCTGACCCTGCCTGTGGGAGATGACACTTTATGTAAGGTTGGGATAGATGTCTCCTCGTGGGGCAAGTGCCGTCTCAGGCCCCTGGAGTAGGTGCTTACAGAAATTCTGTGCCCAGGTGTGGTACTCTGGGTCTCAACACTCACGTTTCTTCCCCTGACTGGGCTGGGCTGTGAACGACAGACCACAAAACTTTCTCAAGAAACCACAGAGTGAGTTTCCCACGTGCCTGATCGCTGAGGTCCAGAGAAGACTCTGGTTGGCTGTGTAGAACCATGACCCCACCCCCAGCCCTGTGCCTGGCACTGGAGGACAGCTCCCTCCACATCAGGCACACTCTTAAACATCTGTCTGTAGTGTGATTTATTCTATTTTAAAATGAGGTTTTCAAACAACTCACTATCTTAATTTTAGCAGTTCAGCTCCTTTGTATGCTAACAATACTGAACATGCAAATGAGCTACCACTTTGCTTTCTAGCAAAAATGTTTCTGTGCAAACACTTGATTTTATAACGCACTTTGCAGCTTTCTCCTATAATTAGTTGTTAAATCTATATTTGACTTTGTCTAAGCGGTTACACTGCAAGGCTGTTTTTCTTGCTTCTCACTTTGACTGGTCCGTTTTATCCCTAACCATACGTCTGCTTGAGCAGCAATGTGGTTTCCAGGCTAGATTTGAGATTGAATAAAAACCCAGGAAGTACTCCTGGAGTCGGGCTTCAGCTGTGTGAAGAGATCCTAAGGCTGCAGCCAGGTTCAGAATCAACCTCTTGCCTTTCATCTTTCAAGGGTCAGCATACAAGTCTCAGGGTGTGGCCAAAGCCTCGTGACCAAGTTCACTTTCAGAGGTGCGTCAGGCTGTGAATACTTTCAAATAATAATCTAATCTATCATGTGGACCCAAAGAAAGACAGTGACGGATAGTAGAACTAGAGCAGTGGTTCTCAACCTATCGGTCGTGACCCCTCTGGGGTCAAATGATCCTTTCACAAGGGTCACATATCAGATATTCAGTATATCAGATATTTATATTATGATTCATAACAGTAGAAAAATTACAGTTATGAAGTAGCAACAAAATAACTTTATGGTTGGGGGTCACCACAACACAAGGAACTGTATTAAAGGGTCGCTGCATAGGAAGGTTGAGAAGCACTGAATTAGAAGTGTCATTACCTCACGAAGTAGGTCTACTGAGTGCCACTTTACACCAGCCACGCAAGGTCATCGATGATGTAAAGAGTTTGAACCAAACGAGACATAAACTGTCCTTTACTGCCCATCCAGGTGAAATGGAGCAGATCCTTGGGGCCACACCCAACTTCCAGCCCTTTGTAGATCATGGGGCCTGTGGCACAGTTCGTCTCGCAGCACATTAAACAGAATGAGGCCAAGGAGCGAATGTCAGCTTAAAATAATGTTTATTTGGAATAAGAAATTATGCCCAAGTTCCAATTTTAAAAAGCTGGAAAATTAAGAAAACTTCACAATAACACCCAGAAAGGTAAAATAACATTTTATTGACTTGTCTATTATACTCCTTGCCTACAATTTGGCTTTTGTGCTCTTCATCTTCCCCTGGGAACAACTTTGTAATATTTCCTATGTAGAAAAGAGAAAAACAATTCATTCTTCTCCCTCGGGTGGTTGACCACAGTAATAAAAACACAATACTTGGGATTCATATGACAAGTAACTTCACAAGCAGACGTACTCACTGAAGAATATAGGTTTGTACCCTTTAAACATAATATTTCTGATAAATTGTATTTCATAGGATTCTCATAAAAATTATAGTAGGTTTATAATTATATAGTCAATAAAATGCTACTTTTCAGAGCATATGCTGACAGGAAAGAACTTCTATTTTGACTAGAAATCAATTGAACAGAAATTTCTGCTCATAATTGTACGTGTCTGACGAACATAGATGCTTAGCTTGAGGCAATCGGTTGTCAGGCTCCCTTGTCTGTTCTTCTAATTCTGGTACCGAGAACAAGGGACGAATTCTTTTAAGTGTGGTTCTTGGGCTCTCATCTTCATGTCACAAGCAGTTGAGTTAGACCATGGGTAACCTATAGCCCCAGGGTGTTCTCTAACACATAACAGAACCCACTAAAAACAAGCTAAATGTATCTACAATCCAAGCTCCTTTTGACCAGCTCCCGAACAGCTACATGGACAGCAGTCCATGGACTCGGGGTAGAGGGATACTAGAGCAGAAGGAGGCAACATCTTAACCTTTGGAAGTTTGAAGATCTTAAACACTGCCCAGATGGTTCACTACAGGGCTCCTTTCCAGGGCTTGGAGATAAGGAGCCAAGAATCACCCTGCAGGAACCCCAACCCAACTTCATCTCAAGAGGGTCTCCTGCTCCAGGCACAGTGTTCCTCTTCAGAACTGCACTGGCAGCATTGCTAGGAACCAGACATTCCAGGTCTTCTCTGTCTTTTTTCTCATGGGTTAGCTCACAAAATGTTTGATGCCCCAAGGGCCTCTTTTCTTCCCTCCCTCATCCTAACCTTTGCAGTTCCTTCTCTGCATTCAGTTTCCACCTGTCCTGGAGTTTCGATGCGATGACTTTGAACTCCCTATAAAGGCTGCCCCAGCGTATCACCATCTGTGAACCCTCTCAAGAGGCCTGAGGAACTTCTTCCCATGCATACCAAAGACTGTCCCAGTTCAGCAACAATCTAGAAAATAACAACTCAACTGAGACATCATCACAGTCAACAGTAGGCACACTGGCTGGCCAGCATCATTATACAGTATGATAGACAAAGCCTTTATTGGACTATTTATCAAAATAGTCCAAAAATAACTTACATACTCTGTGACTCATGTACTTTTCTTCTGCAGACAGAAATCTGGCTCTGTCTTTTACTTTCTTATTTAATTTCTGTATTGCTGGAGCCTTGCATATACTAGGCAAGCATTCCACTGCTGAGCCACATTCCTGGCTCCCAAGTCCACTCCTAAGAGCTTATGTTTATAAACATACACTTGTTTACTTTTTAAAAAATTATCATGGAGAATTATTAGTAAAGAATAATTCAAATAATAAAAAAATCGAGACTGCATATTTTCATCTTCCAGAAATGTTAAATCACAATGGCTCGTCCACACTTAGATCAGCTTGCAACAGTAACAAGAAAGTGGTGTGTTCTGACAAAGGACTGTCTCCAAGATGGTGCTAACATAAGAGAAACTCAACTGGAAGCATGACATGTGTGGAGTAGTGCCAGTCTCCACAAAGGCAAAGAGACTTTGAGTAAGTGAAATCACCTCTTTAAGTGGAGAGAATGCCTCCCACTTCCCATATGCTAAGGAATTAAACATGATGATGGATGTAAGAATTCCTTGAACTGAACATTGTATAAAATTCTATCACTTATAAAACATCAAACAAGACAAGGAGATCTTGAGGGCCCAAAACTTCAACTAGCTACAGCCTATCTCTTTCATTCTGGAAGCTTCTGTCTACTGAAAACACCATAAGAAATAGATTGGCTTGCCATCTGCTGGCATTGAAGATCACAGAGCACAGCATGCCGAGCAAGGGCCAGTGTGCATGAAATGAACAAGGAAATCCCCGATAGGGAAGTGGTGGTGAGGCAGGGAGGTGCTGGAAGTGGCCATGCTCCTCTTGGAAGTCTTAGTAGTGTTGATGACTCTGGAACTAGAGCAGAGGCTCCCCATGATGGACTATCACAGGGTTATTTACATGATGAGCAGCACAAAGTGATGACTGGGAAGAACAGACTACCATAGCAGAGTATATGCCCTGCTTTCTACCAAAGAAGGGAGAATTTCTAGCTGTGCCCCGGGAAGCAAGCAGGAAACGGGAAGTGGGTTGAGAGTGATGATGCTGTGAAGTTTACTTTGACATAGAGAATCCTTGCCTGAAGAAGTACTATTTGATCTGGGGTTTGGAGGAGGAGGGGAGTTTACCAAGCCAATACCATGGAGTGATGCAAGAGAGAAAGGCTAATTCCAGGCCAAGGAAAGAGCGTGTGTTCCTCGTCCATGGGGATCTGGCAGTGGAAAGAACCAAAGGAAATCAGTGAGAAGTGAGAAATGCCCAGGGAATAAGTGGTAGGACTTGCGGCAAAACCAAAGTCAGCGAAAGCAAGATGGTGCAGGGTCCTGGAGACCACGAGGCAGAGGCAGAGGCTGCCCTCAAGGACGTTGAAGGCTCTGAGGATTCAAATATCCAGGTACCATGTGCAGTCCCTACAGTGCGAGGAATGGAATTAAGGTAGAAATGGGGAGACCTTACAAGAGGCACGGGACCTGTTCAGGGTAAAAAATGGCAGTGACTTTAGCTAAGGGACCCTTTGCCCCAGATTTCCCTACAGAGTACACAGATGCCAACCTTGGCTTGGTTCCTGGTGCTGCCTGGCTCTCTGCTTCCCACACATCTAAAATTGCAACTTGCTCAGCTTACCTTGCAGCCTGGTGCTGAGAGCATGTAGGTGTTCCGAAGCTGGATTGAAAGCATAAGCAGGGTTATTTCTGTGGAGGCTGAGAAAGGTGCAGAGTGTTCTACTATCCACCGAGAGGGCTGACCTGCAGGCATGCAGCAAGTGCCCCTGGTTTATATTCCAGACCACCAGCCACTGTAATTATACATTTCGCAGCCCAGCAAGGCTCAGTATAGATGCTCGCAGCCAGGGTCTCTGTTATAAAGGCTCTGGTCTTGGTTGGTTATTAACTATACTGTACGAAGCCTCATAAACACCTTTTTACACATACAGTGCAACCTTTCAATACAACAATCAAATGCTTTTCAACAAATTACAGTCTCCTAGAAGAGCAAGGCCTTGATTGCTTCCTAGAAAGAGGTGGAAGGAAACTTTAGACAGAACTTGTTGGAAGCCTGATGTTTAGATCTGTGTTTGCTTTAGGCTGGGAATGCTAGCCTGGAGTTCAGACCTTTCATAGCTCTGGGGAAATTAGTGCTAATTAATCCAAACTTGGCCTGAGGAGAAGTCAAGCCACAGAAATAATTTAACCAACCCAATCTACTTCACAAACAAGGATAAGGATGTCAGAGAGGCATAGCTGTGTTCTGTAGTCACCTGAGAACTCACAGGTAGGACTAGATGGAGATTTTAGGACAGGCTGCCAACACCCTCCTGGGACTTCACAGTTGTGTTTGGATCTTGTCTTGGGTCAGTGTTATTAGTCTGGAGTCTGCCATCTTCTAAGCAAATGTGGGATCTCTATCCTCACCACCCAGCCTTTAATTCTCCTACACTCCAATCAAGTCAGCTCTCTGTGATCTTAAAAAAAGGACTCGTTAGATTTCATAGACAGTTTTTCATAGTGTGAGCTGCAGACCCAAGCTTGTAACCTGTTCTTTTGCCCAATGAGGCATTAAGGTGAACCAGCAAAAGACATTCTATCCAGCCACATATGAGAAGAGGGTTAGTGGCTTTCCTGGGGAACAAATATCTTACCATCCAGAAAAAGATGAGGGAGAAGGAAAGCTGGAAACACTGTGGACCTTTTCCAAGGCAGGGGAAGATGGAGTGTGGTTGCAAAGGACACAGCAAGCTTCTGTGGATGGAGGACTTCCCTATCCTGATTAAGCAGTGGTCACACAATTGTATACATTTGCTTTTAAAAAAAAAGTCACTGCTGCTCAGATGTGATGGTGTGTCCTGTCATCACGGCACTTGCACTTCTGAGGCTGAGGCAGGAGGACCACAGGTTTAAAGCCAGCCTGCACTGTATCATGAGACTTTGTCTCTAAACAAACCAAAAACTGAAAACGAAACCAACATTCACCAATCGCTGCCATTTTGTAAGGAGATGTTCCATATGATACAAAGCTGAGAACAAGACAAAAAAAAGAAGAATGGAAAATTTCCTATTCTGATCAAGCATGTTCTTTGAAGCAGATGTGCCTCTGATTTTGAAGGTGATCTGAAGGACACAAGAAGAAAGGACATAGAAGGGACTTCCAAATGTGGGCCTCTAAGTGTTTCCCGCCCACAGCCACTGAGAGAATGGTGTGGTTTAACGGGGCTTCTATTCAGTGTTTCTAGTGAAGATCGAGCAAGGATAAAGCAGAGAAGCTCTGTGGTTGGCTTTGTCATATGGTCCTGCAGAAGAAAGCCCACCACACTAGGCCTCAAAATCTCTGTGTACCCTTGGAGAAAGTGACCATTCTCCAGGGCTAAGTTCAGGATCTATAGAAGAGAGAGAGAGAGAGAGAGAGAGAGAGAGAGAGAGAGAGAGAGAGAGAGAGAGAGAGAGGTGGGGGGAACATGGACACTTGCTTTCTGAGTTCAAACCAGAGACTTGAATATGGCTTTGGGCTTAGATGCTCGCCAGCTGTGTGCCACAGAACAGCAACACCACCCTGGCAAGCCTCAGTGTCCTCTTTGGTGAGAAGGCATAGTGGGACTTAGGTGATGGAGATCTATGAGGAGCCTATGGGATCACAAGTAGAGAGATGTCAGCTCCGTGTCTGCAAAGTGGCGAGTGCTGGGTTCATACAAAGTTGCTTCTCCCAGGAGACACCAGACATTGTCTGACTCCAAGTGGGAGAGACCAGCTTTCCCTCCTGTTTGCAAGCTCTCTGTGATAGGAGAGCTAGCAGGAAAAGCTTCCCCAGCTCTAAAGCAGTGGGGATCAAATGAGGCAATCTGCCTGGAATGCTGTGCCCATGCCTGGGTAGCAGGCATTGCTCACCTTCATCATCACTGTATCAGAATGCCCCACAGAAACAGATTCTCTCTTTCAGGAGGCTCAGTCCATGCTTGCCTGGACCCATGTACTTGGGCAGAACCTGACAGCCATGAGAGCATGTGATACAGGCTATTCCCTTCTTAACACATAGGAAACAACAGAAGCAATATAGAAAGGGGCTTTTGATGCACGCCCCCCTCCCTCAGTGACCTATTTCCTTCACCTCGCCCTACCTCCCAACAATGCCATCACATTACAATCCCATCAAGTGATTGTTCTGTTCATTAGATCAGAGCTCTCAAGACCTAACCCTCTCTGGAAACACCCTCCTAGACACAGTCCTAGACAGCAGAAGTCACCAGCTAGCTGATTTTTAATGCCTTTAAGCTGACAATCAAGTTTAGCCACCACAGTAGGTGCTCAATAAATGTGATCTATAACCCAACTTCCCTATGAGCAAATGGGATCAGTGCAGCCATAGGACAGTCTCTAACTCCTCCACCTTTGTGCCAGTCAACACATATTCTCTTGAATTTTTCAGAAATAGTGACTATAACCTCACGCTAAATCAGAGTATAAGACAGAATTTGCTTCTTTTTAAGTCTTTGAGTATTAAGCCCTAAAGAACTTCATTTCTCTCAGTACCACATCACCGTCAACAAATATCGTCAAGTGAATGAATGAGTCCATTGAAAAAAGAATAAAGAATAATAAAGGGTCTACATTTGCTGAAGTTCTTCATGTATCCAGATACTACTATCTACATTTACCGAGCCATACCAAAGAAACAGATACAAAAATTTCCAAGAGATTTTCAAGGTAGTGAAGTGGTTTGTCATCCAAGATCAGAACTGCTTTCCTAGAGCTGAGTATAGTTCAGGTTTGGACTGGGTTTTAGGCAGACTGGGACAAATCCACACTGTCTCTGGAATCCTCAGAACATGTCACACATTAGAATGCTCCAAGATCTGTGTCCCCCAAACTCCTGATAAAG